TCATTCGTGGATGAGGCTCGTCTGTCCGAGCCTGTGGGGATCAGCTTTGAACACACAGAAATTGGGTGCTGGGGGTTTTTGGCTGCCAGGGCTATCTGGGCGGATGTTGGGCACACTTGCACGACTCCGGGCCCTCCTGGATGAGACTTAGCTTGGCATGGAGTCTGGAGGCACCTCTGCAGCTTGTTACTTTCTTCTAAGATTTATTAGTGAGTCTCTATTCTGTTTTTTTTTTTTTTTTAAACACAGTTCGCAATCTCCAGGCTGGGGAGAATATAGCAATTAAAGTATTTGTCTTGCATGCACAGTCAGTCCCTAGTTCAATTTCTGGACCACATATGATCCCCCAAGCACTGCCAGGAGTGGTCCTGAAGCACAGCCACTGTGACTCCAAACCAAAGATGCAGTAATCTTTTTATTGTATAGATACCGTCACTGTCACTGTCCTCCCATTGTTCATTGATTTGTTCAAGCGGGCCCAGTAACGTCACCGTTGTGAGACTTGTTGTTACTCTGTTTGGCATATCGAATATGTCACGGGTAGCTTGCCAGGTTTGCCGTGCGGGCGAGATATTCTCAGTAGCTTGCCGGGCTCTCCAAGAGGGGCGGAGGAATTGAACTCGGGTTGGCCGGGTCGGCCGCATGCAAGGCAAATGCCCTACCACTGTGCTATTACAAAATTGTATTTAAAATAGCACGGGCAAACAAATTCTGCTACTGTCTGCACCTTGTTAAATGGACTCCAAAGGACTACAGGACCTGAACGTCAGATTTGAGACCAGGAATCTCTTGGAGGAAAGTATAAAACGGCAGAAGCATCCTTGACATTGGTCTCTTTCTTTTTTTTTTTTTTTTAAATAATGTAGGTGTACTGCTATTTGTTCAGCCATTGATTAAGCTGATGGAATTGGGGATGAACTCCACATTACTTTTTTATTTTATTGTATCATCATGAGATAGAGTTAGGAAGCTTTCACATTTGAGATTCAGCTGTACAGTGATGGAACACTCATCCCTCTACCAGTCACACACTCTACCACCCACCACCGATGTCCCCAGTACCTCCCCTCCCCACACACACACACATCCCAATCCTCACCCTCCTCTATGGCAGACAATCTCCCCAGTACTTTCTCTAGTTTTGGGCATTATGTTTTGCTTGAACTTTCCCACCACCATTCAAGCCTACCTGCCAGGGGCAGACGCTAGAGAATTTATTTTCCATTGCTCATTTTGAATATCATGAGAACTTGCACAGATGTGATTGTAAATGTAAATTTCTAGATTATAAATGGTTGGGTTCCAGAGACATCTCTATATGGCACTAATCCATTTTGGGATTTAGTTGGGAGTCTCTGGGCCAGGGCTGCTGGTGCGCTAAGATGACACTCGAGACAAATTGTGCCCACAGTTTGTCAGAGCCAGTCTTCTGGGCAGGCGGGGACCTGGGGAGGGACAGCCCAGGTCCTCTGCTGCCATGTGGCCTAGAGTTTTACTCCTGAACCCGCATACCTGGGCCTTGGTTGTGGAAGCTCTTGATCACTGGGATTCCATCTGGAGTAGTCGGGGAGACTGCATCTACTCCATCTGGGGTGTTCTAGTGATACCGGCTCGTTATGGGGCCTGAAGAGATCTCTGGCACTGTGGTATCTTCCGGGACTTGCCTCTGTGTTTTTGAGTCAGGGCTCTTGGTGTGCTAAGACCCACATTACAAAATTTTCAGTAGGTTATATCTTGGTGAGATCCATCCTAGAGATGCTGGAGTCAGGCAGAGGGTATGGCGGTGATTTTGGATTGTGGAAGCAAGTGGCTGCTGGGGACTCTGCTTGGGCTGGCACAGGCCAACCCGCCCCCTCCAATTTACTTAGGTCTGTTCAGCCCTGCATGAATCCAAGCTTAACTGTGTATTTTGATTTCTTTTGAGATTTATTTAGGGGGTCTCTGAAGCAAGGCCAGTAGCTTTCCAGGATTTGCTGTGCAGGCGAGATACTCTCAGTAGCTTGCCGGGCTCTACGAGAGGGGCAGAGGAATTGAACTCGGGTTGGCTGGGTAGGCCACCACTTACAGGGTGGCACTGGAATTGGTTTATGGGGGTGACTGCCAGTGCTTACATGTGTATTGGGAAGTGAGGGGGGAGGTAGCCCATCCCAAGTTTGAAAAAGCCATGAGCTTGTATAGCTGAGCTGGAGCTGGTTTGTGGGTGTGGCTCCCACACACCTAACTTTTGGCCAATTGATTTCTTGGTAAACTTGGTCCCAAGTTGCTGGGGTCTGGCCAAAGGCACAGCAGCAATTTTTGGGTATCAGGAAGCCTGAAGGCACCATCAGGCTGTTGATGCACTTGCCCCACAGGTACAGGTTGACCTGTTGGCAGCACCATACCCCTAAATTGTTTTCTTATATCAGTTGCACAGAGTCAAGGATAGCACAATTTAATCCTAAAAAAATAAAAACAAAGTCCCTTAAAATTTTGATAACTTATGGGAATGAGGCTAAGTGGCATAAATCAGACAAAAATAGACAAGTGCCATATGAGCTCACTTACATAAGGAATCTTAAAACAAAATTTTCAGTTAGGGAACAGGATAGTCTCCAAGGCTGAAGGAACGTGGTCAGGGACAAACCCTTCAGCTAACTTGACAGATGGATCGTGGCCAGAATCACTTTGATGATCAACTTGCAGTGTCCACAAACCATGTAAGCCTCATGTTACACATGAGATCAGTGTAATCTTGTTCAGTTATTTATCAGTTAAAAATATACTTATGGGGCGGAGAGCTAGAGCAGGGGACTGGGGCCTGGCCTTTGAGTACAAGAGTCCTGGCTTTGCTCCCTGGCCCCAAGGGTCTCCCAGACACTGCCAGCTCCCCTTCCCAACCCTCCCCCCAGCTATAGAAACAGTCTGTTGCTGCTGTGAGCTTGTCAGTCTAGTGCTGTGTGACAGGCATGCACCAGGCTTACCCGCGGCACCACCCTGCCTGCTGACTGGGCCCAGAGGCACATGCTGTCCAGATCTGTGCCACAGTGAAGTATGTGTGTATGTGTGACCACGACCAGTGTTTGTGAGAGCCACAACCGGTGTGTGTGAGAACCACAATCTGTGTGAGAGCCACAATCTGTGTGAGAACCACAATCTGTGTGAGAGCCATGACCATTGTGTGTGAGAATCACAACTGGTGTGTTTGAGAGTCACAATCTGTGTGAGACCACAACCGGTGTGTGTGGCCCTTTACTTCCCCCGCTTTACTTCACTTTCTCTTTTTTCTCTCTTGATTTCTTTCCTTCTCTGTCCTCCTTCTCCCTGTACTCTGGGGTCAAGGGTGGTCTCGGCACCCCCACGCCTTTACTACATTATACTTCCTCAGTCATTCTGTATAACACAGATAGTGAGATCATCCTGTGTTTGTCCTTCCTCCGGCATGCTTCACTCAACATGGCATCTTCTAGTTCTAGCCAGACTATAGCCAGTTGCATGATTTCATCATTCCTTGCAGCTGTGTCGTGTCCCCAATGTATAAATGCCACATCTTCAAGATCCCCTGATCTGTCTGCCACTGGGCTCCTAGGTTGATCCCATGTCTTAGCTGTTATACTGAGTGCAGCAGTGAGTATTGTTCACATGTCCTTTTGGATGTATGTTTTTTGTCTTGGGAGTAGATATCCGAAAGTGGAATTGCTGGGTCTTTTGGCAGCGCAATTCTAAGTTTACTAAGGACTCATCCTCCCGTTTTCCACAAGGGTCGAACAAGACATTCCCACCAGCACAAGAATATGTTTAAAGTGGAAAAATATTTCCCAGTCTTGAGGTGCATAGTGCTTTACTTCATCATCATTTACTAAGAAAGACTCCTTAATGTCATTAGCTGTCTTCTTATTCAACCAAAACTCTCCTTTCATTTATTTTCATACATCCATATTTGCATGCACACCCACATTCACTGTTGCTTCTGATTACTTTAGTGACTTCCTTAGTAAATGGCTTAGCACAATTTAGTGACCTGTCTTTGAGAAACTGATTTCATTAGTTAAACCATGTCAAAAGTTAAACACGATTTAGATTTTTGTCTAGTTTATTGTTTACTCCAGTTTGCTTACAGGAATTCAGTCATATGTAGGGAAAGTATTAAAAAAATTGGAATTCTTAGTTCTGCTTTGGGGGCAGGGTTTGGGGTTCGGGATGGAAATATGGTGGTGGAAGGTGTAATGGTGGTGGGTTTGGTGTTCAAATATTAAATACAAACAAATACTGTGAACAACTTTGAAAAAATAAAATAATATATATTTTTTTAAAAATTGGAATTCGGGGGGCTGGAGCAACAGCCCAGTGGGTAGGGCGTTTGCCTTGCACGCAGCCAACATGGCCGACACAGGTTTGATTCCCAGTATCCCATATGGTCCCCCGAGCACCGCCAGGAGCAATTCCTGAGTGCATGAGCCAGGAGTAACCCCTGGGCATCACCAGGTGTGACCCAAAAAGAAAAAAAAAATGGAATTCTGGCTTAGAATGAAGAAAGTTCCAGGACTAGAAAAAGAAGTCTTTGTTTCAGAGGTGGAGGTTCTTAAATTTGTTTCCTTTTATTTTCAGAGGAATATTGTTGCTCATTAACGGATGGGGGGGGGGGGGGAAGGGGGGCGGTGGCACATGCTGGCTCTGGGCCAGGGCCCTGGTGTTCATTTTACCTGTTGGCTATACAGGGCATGGCATTTTGTGCAGAGCTTAAACTGGGTTCCAGAAGATCCTTTATGGAAAGTGCCGTGTCACCCATGGTCCCTCGTGATTCAGAGTGCCTCAGTACCAAGCTGCTTTGTAGAGGGTTCCTGATTGGGCAGCCTGGGGTGCGGATGAGTCCAGTGTCTCATGTGGGGTGGGCTGTGGCAGCGGCTTTTGGGGCTGTGCTCACTAGCTTGTGGCATGGGCAGGCTGGCTTGCTGGAGGCTCCCCCGCTGTGGAAAGGCCTCGTGGAGCTCTGGCTGAACTGTTGTTCCTGTGCTGCCTTTCAGGATCAAGGCCATAGAGAGCCCCAACAAGGACGACGACACTCAGTGGCTGACCTACTGGGTAGTGTACGGCGTTTTCAGTCTTGCTGAGTTCTTCTCGGATCTCTTCCTGTCCTGGTTCCCCTTCTACTATATGCTGAAGGTATGCTGGTGGGGCCGTCACTCGGCCACTTTGTCTCTGCATGGGTCTGCTCTTCCCGCTGAGAATGTTTCACACCTGTACCTCTAGAATAGACACTGCTGGCTGGGAACAGGTGGCGACATGCCATCTGATATGCCTCCCCTGAGCACTGTCTTGGAAAATAGCCCAAACAGTTGTCTGTTTTTGGTGTGTTTGATAAGAACAAAGAATGAAGATACTGTGTCTGGGACTGTCAGTTGTCCTGGTTTGCCCAGGTTCCAGATTATTGCAGCGTTGCCCAGATTCTGTGTGGAAACACTGTAAATTTTGGCAGGCAATTAACTGAATGGTGGGCTAGCCTCTGATTTTTGGAAGAATTACTAGGTTTTCGTGTTGATTTGGAGAAGGAAGATGTGACATGGGCTTCCTGCTGCCAAGGGTCGTCCTGTGGACCCACACAACAGCACCCCCCTGGGGGAGAACTGGGAGTGACCTGGGAGCCCCTGGCAGTGCTGAGCCTCCCCTCAAGCTGTTCCCCCTAGAAAGGAGCGTGTAGACACCTAGGAGGAAAAAAGCTTCTAGATACAGAAATAAAATCCCGGCTGCATTGTTTACGTGTGTGTGTGTGTGTGTGTGTGTGTGTGTGTGTTTGTGTATGTGTGTGTTTTGGGGTGTTGTAGGTTGTAGATGGAGAAGAAAATGACTGGCATTGAGAAATCTACTGTCAGCCTGCAGGGACCAACCCAGAGCTGGGTGGGTATCAGAGTCTGGCCAGCCTGCTGGGGCAGGGGTCGGAGAGGCCCGGCCCGAGCACCAGGCCGCAGAGCCCATCTACACCCTCTTCTCCAATTCAACATGAAAAATTAGGAAGTTTTTCTTCCCCCAAAATTGCGTGTGTGTGTGTGTGTGTGTGTGTGTGTGTGTGTGTGTGAGACAGAGAGAGAGAGAGAGGGAGAGAGAGAGAGAGAGAGTAGAGAGACTGAGAGAGACGACAGCCAGAGAGAGAGAGAGAGAGAGAGAGAGACAGAGACAGAGAGACAGAGAGCATATACACTTTATGAAGTTCTCTTCTTTTTCAGTCAGTGCAGTTCTCTGGTATCTCATAATATCCAGTAATTTTTGGCAGTGCTCTTAGGACTCTGCTCTGGCAGAGAAGACCTGGCTTGTGGTCCCAGCTTCCCTTAACAGATCGTGCCGTGGGGCCTGGGGTTCAGTTTGGGTCTTCTGTAGAGGCATGCACTTCACCCTCGTGCTGCCCTAGCCCTTGCCGCTCGCTGGGATAGGGCAGCTACTCTTGCTGGTATATGATAGGGAACATCCTTCTCCAGACTCACCTCCATCAGGTTATTTCCTGGACTTGCTCTCAGAGCACAGCTGGAGAAACTCTGTTGTTTCTGTTCTGATTTAGATTTCACGTGTGTTTTTCTCCAGCATCTCGAGATGGTCAAACGTTTCTATTCTTGGTAGGAGTCAGTGAGGGCAAAGTCTCCCCTCCCTGGTTCTTTCTTACTTCCGCTAGTGCGTATACGCAGTTACCATTCGTGCGGGCTGGGCTGAAGTATGGCACATTGCCAAGGCTTCCTCAGGTAGTTTTTGCTTAAGTGATTGCTATGCATCAGAAGGTCAGTGTTGGAATATGATTTTTCTGATACTGGTACTCACTTTTGTGTAATTCTAAATTGTGTATGTTATCCCTATCTCTAGGGCTGGAGCGATAGCACAGCGGGTAGGGCGTTCGCCTTACAAGCAGCCAACATGACCGACCCGAGTTCGATTCCTCCGCCCCTCTCGGAGAGCCCGGCAAGCTACCGAGAGGTATTCGATATGCCAAACACAGTAACAACAAAGTCTCCAATGGAGACGTTACTGGGCCCGCTCAAGCAAATCGATGATCAACGGGAGGGCCTTTACCTTTAGGGCTGGAGCGATAGCACAGCGGGTAGGGCGTTCCCCTTACAAGCGGCCAACATGGCCGACCCGAGTTCGATTCCTCCGCCCCTCTCGGAGAGCCCGGCAAGCTACCGAGAGTATTCGATATGCCAGACACAGTAACAACAAAGTCTCCAATGGAGACGTTACTGGGCCCGCTCGAGCAAATCGACGATCAACGGGAGGGCCTTTACCTTTACCTTTATCCCTATCTCTGAAATATCTTCTTAGGGAAAATCAGTTGTGGCAAAATAATGGTCTGTTGTCATTTGACATGCACAGAGCTGGTGTGTGTGCCCAGCTGGCTGTTCTCCAGGGCACAGTAGCTATCATGTATCTTGCGGTTGGGGCAGTATGGCATGCAACTCTCGGAGCTCCACAGATCGCAGGCTGCCGGGAGGAGCTGGAAGAGCTGGTGACAGGATCACCATGAGGGTTGAATAGTGATTAACTTTATTTTTATTACAAGAAAATGATCTCACTTGAGAGCCGAAAAATGCTAAGGCTGTGGGTAGAGAATAATTACTTTGCTGTCTCAAGACAGTACCTAGAGCCACCTGGGAAGAGCTGAATTACCCATGTGAAGGGCAGCCTGCCAGTGAGGGCACAAGCTAAGAGGGAGGTGGAGGCCATGGATGCCAGTCCTGTTCAGCAGCCTTGTCACATTCTGCTTAGCAAAGATAAACATGAGTTTTCTGGATTCTGGGACCCAGGTTCAATCCCTGGCACCACATATGGTTCCCCAAAGATATCGGGAGTGATTTCTAAGTGCAGAGCCAGAATAAGCCCTGGCTCCCCCCAAAATCAACACCTCCACCCCCAACAAGGAAAATCCCCAACGATTTTCTGGTTTTCCTAAGAGCCACATGTTCCTGGGGAGCCTGCTTCCTGCACTCCCCTCTGCCTCCCCCACCCCCCCCCCCCTCCCCAGGCACACTCCTTCAGATGCTGAGTCATGGCTTGGTGAAGATCTCACAGAAGAGGATCTTCTCAAGTGGGCACGTGACTCATCTAGTCACACAGACCACAGTTTCCCTGGTCCTGAATGGAGGCACTATGCCTGCAGGTAGGACGGGCATCTGCCTTTATAGGAAGAATGCATTAATAAAATCCAGCTTTCCAAGTAAAACCAACCAGCAGACACTGCCCTAAGTAATAGGAAAAAAACATACCTCTGTGTAAGTAGCTAATATATTTAGCCACGAACTGATACGGGATGCTAAAAACACTGCTTATAGCCCATGGTTCTCATGAGAACCCCTTGTGCCATGCACAGCGATGCAGAGCTTGTTGGCATGACGAGTGTTTCTTGGATATGCAAACTCTGGAAAAAAGTTGGATTTTTTGAAAAGCAAAGGTATTCCACAGGACCAGGCAGACCTGGCCCAGCACAGGAAGGGAAGCCCAGCTCAGTGAGAGGTGCAGTCACTTCTGTCTGCCGTGGTGCATGCAGATGTGTGGCTCAGACAACCAATGCTCTTTCTTCTCTGGATCACATCTGGTGGGACCATGAGGTATGGGGGGAATTGAACTCAGGCCTGAGTAGTCAGGGCACATGCACAGCTGCCGAGCTGCCTTGTGGCCCTTGGGCAGCGTCTCAGGGGGTGTGGGAAGATAGTGCCTGGAGCAGGTGCAGACTGACCTGCGGAAAAGTACGGCTCCCCGATGACCAGGCCAGCCCCGTTTAGCCTTTCAGGAACATGGTAGATGTTGCCGTGACTGACTCCACTTGAGTTTATCTCGGTAACATTTGGATTTCTGTATACCATCCTGCACAGTTTCAGTAGAAGTTGCTTTCATACCCACTTTTTCTCCCCATAGGGGCCCCCTATGCAGTGCTCAGGGATTCGCTCCCGCTGTGTAGTATGACAGTGCTCACAGCACCACCAGTAACAGGACCCCCATGCCACCCAGGGGATGAGAAGCAGTCATTGGTGCGAGGGGACAAGCTTGGGGTGTGTGTCGACGTGAAAGCCCCAATCTGTCCTTGGTAGTCAGTGCCTGACCCGCCTTGCCCATAGCCTGAGGGGCATCACCTCACCAGACCCACCTGGGAATGGACACTAGGCTCCTGGGAATTGCCTGGGGCTGCCAGGACCCCACACCACAGTGGCCCCTGGCGATGGGGACTCAGGGCTCCGTGCAGGCTGGCTCCCAGGCGGGTCCTGGGGTCACATGCTGCTCCGCCATTATCATCATTATCATTATACACAGCAGTGCTCAGGGCTGACTCTTGGCTCTCCACTCAGGGATCACTGCCTGTGGTGCTCAGTAGACTATATGGAGTGCCGGGGTTGAACCCTGGTTGGGTGAGTGCAAACAAGCACCCTCCCCACTGGACTCTCGCTCTGGCTCCCTGTTTATTTTTTAAAAATCTTGTCTACTAACCTGTCCTTTAAATAAGTTTGTCCCTGTGCTCGTGTTCCCTAATTCTATTTTGGCTTTGGGCCAGGCCTGGCACTGCTCAGGTCTCACTCCTGGCTCTGCACTCAGGAATTTCTCCTGGTGAGCCCGGAGGCCCTGTGGGATGTTGGCATCGAGCATGGGTTTACTGCATGCACCGTCTTGTCTCTGCAGTCCTTCTGGTGAATCGTGATTCATGAATTACTCTTCTAGAGTTCATACTTGAGCTCAGCTGGAGAACAATCTGTTGAGATGTAATGGAAGCATGGATGTACATGGTTCGGGCAGAAACATGGCACTGTTCAAAGTGTTGGCCCCTAACCAGCTTTGCCTCTGTGGAGAACATTTAAAAGTCTGTCTTTGGGGGGGGAGGGGTTGTTGGGAGGCTGCCTTAGAAGAGCAATGTGGCTTTCTGGTTCTTTGAATGTACTTTTTGGTTGGAATAACAAAGTTAAATTCCTGGCATAAGTCTCTCAGACATTGTAAGAAATCTCGAGGGAGACCATGACTTTGCTCCTCTGTTGGCCAGGGCTACTCACCAAGATCCCGGCTGTGCACCCAGCACACTGTCTCGAGCGGCTCTCAGGCTGCACCCTGGGCGGGGTGTAACACAGTCTAGTCTGAGTCTTTCACGGGAAGAAATCCGTGCGTTTATTAAACCTCTGGGCCGTGGGTGTGTCCCTGAGTTCCCTTTTATTTTTGCTCGTAGTCTTTCAGAGCTTCTTAGGCAACTCAAAGTGCTGAGCTGGCGTTGATCATTGAAGGAACAAGAGCTTTGTTTGGATTAGTTCACTGTTTGGTTCATTCTTGTGTTGCATGTTTTTTGGTTTGCTTTTTTGTGACGCTGGAGCCTGCCACAGCCAAGTGAGGTGCTCAACAGCCAGGCGAGCCCTCGCCTCTTCCACACCTCGGTTGGAATTCACATCATTCTGGGGTCTCTGCCTTTGTTGTCTTCCATGTACCGGCCTGTGGTTCCTCTTGCTTGACCACCTGTTTGGGGGGGAGGGGCGGTGCACTAAGGAGGTCCCTCCCATAACATCCCCTGTCCCCCACAGTGCGGCTTCCTGCTGTGGTGCATGGCCCCCAGCCCATCCAATGGCGCTGAGCTCCTGTACAAGCGAGTCATCCGGCCCATCTTCCTGAAGCATGAGTCCCAGGTCGACAATGTGGTGAAGGATCTGAAGGACAAAGCTAAGGAGACCGCAGACACTATCACTAAAGAAGGTCAGTAATGTGGGCTCAGGGGCTTGCCTGGTTGGCCAGTACCTGGCCCTGCAGGAAGAGGAGACTATGGAAGCCTTTGTCTGAGCAGCAGGAGCGACCAGCACTGGCTCCTGGGGAACTGCTGCAGCCTCATGGGGTGGAGGGATAAGGGATCCACAGCTCGGACTGGTTGTCCTTTCGGGTGTCCGTTTGGACCCTATGTTGGCAGCGCAGGAGGGACTGCTTGTTCTGGGGTGGACAGAGGTGCTGGTATGAGTTGTGCCTTCAGCACACAGGGCTATAGAGAGCAGAGGATAGGGAAGGCTCATGTGTAGCTGCAGTTCCTGAGAATCCCAGACCCTAAAGCAGCAGTGATTTTTGCCTGATCAGTCGGCTGGTCTCGGGGGGCTGGGGGAACAGTGTCGTGGACTCCTGGGCCTGTTTCTAGCTCTTCAGACGCAGTGATAAAGGATCATGGCAGAGGTCTGGTAGAGGCAGTGAGGTCCAGGGGCTTAGCCCAGGCACCAAATAGATTTACAAATGGTATAAAAGTGCACACTTAAAACTAGGGTTTCTGTTTTGTGTTGGTTTTGGGTCACAGCCAGCAATTCTAGGGCTACCTCCTGGCTCTGCTCTCAGGAGTCACTCCTGGCTGTGCTCAGGAGACCATCAAGGGTGCTGGGGATCAAACCCCAGTCAGCCCCTTGCATGGCAAGTGCCCTACCCACTGTCCTACACTCTGGCCCTAAGGTTTTGTTTTTTAGGTTCATACCTGGTGGTGCTCTGGGATTATTCTTGGCTCTGTGCTCAGGGGTACTCTTGGAGGCACTTGGGACCATCTGGGGTTCTGGGATCAGCCTTGTAGTCTCCTCAGTGATAGTTGGTGACGGGGTGGGTGGAGACTAACCCCAGTGTGGAGCCCTAGAGCATCCTCAGCGGCCTGGCCCTAGTGAGGCCCCTCGGAGCTGCTGCCGTGTGTCCCAGTCCCTCTGTGTGTACAGGGCTGTGAGCAGTGTCCTGCGTGCCGCCTCTGACCTGCCAGGGATGGCTTCTTCCTCCCCTCAGCTTCCTGTCTTTGGGTTCTGGTCACAAACCATCATGCTCTCGAGCTGCTCCTGGTACCGGGTTGGGGCTCACTCCGCACAGCGCCTAGGGAGCTGGCCTGGGTGGCATGCTCCTAAGCCAGTCCTTGTCCTAAGACCTCTCCCCTTCATTGGTCCCTCAGAGCTTTCTCCTGTCCCTTCATAGCCGTAGCCAAACCAACCTCTGCTGGTGAAGTTTCTGTCCAGTTCACCCACATTTCATACATCAGTACTCTAAAACCCAGTTTCATTTTGGTACAGTATATTTCTAATCAAGGGTGTGAGATTAAAAAAAAGTGGAGGAATTTTTATATGCTGACACATTTAGGCTTTTCTCAAAGTGTCCAGAAGTAAATTCTCTTGAGAGCGATCAGGAGGCTGTACCTTTCAGTGTCCCGGCCATGTGATGAGGCTGGCAGACGCAGGGGGCTACAGCTGCGGAATCTCCCGGGCAGTGCTAACGCGTCCAGCCAACCCCTCCTGGCCTCCAGCCCCCATGAGCTGCAAGTCTCCCTCAGAGGTGAGACTGTTCTAAACAAGGCGCGGAGTCTTCCACTGACTTAGCATTTGCAACAGACCCTTTCAGAGAGGGGATGGCAGCACCATGTAAGGAGCCGTCCCGTGGGGATGGAGGTCGAGAGCACTGTCCTGAGTCTTGTCCCCACAGGAGACAGGCAGCTGGGCTGTCCCCCAGAGGGGTGTGGGAGCCTTAGCGCAGGGGCAGATGCTGGGGGCTCCCTCGAGCTGCACAGTCTGCGCGAGACTCGGCCCTGGCCACATGCCACCTGTTTCTGTGACCAGGTGAGCTCGGGTTGTTTCTGGGGAGAAGCTCTCATTCCTTTCCTCTCCTCTCAACAGCCAAGAAAGTGGCCGTGAATCTACTGGGTGACGAGAAGAAGAGCACCTGAACTGCACAGAGCCTGCGCCCGCGGCCCCCTCCGACCCACCTCCCACAAGAGCTTGTATTCCACTGGGCTGGGGGCGCCGTGCAGGAATGTTGCCTTGAAACATCCGATCTGTTAGAAAGAGGAGTGTGTGCTACATCTGTCTATCCACAAGGAACATTTTAATCTGAACATAATGCAAGGGGCAGTGTCCAAAGTATTAGAAAATTTGTTGCCTCTAGGTAGGGTATGTTGTGCCTGAATGAAACTTAAGTCTCTCTCCTGGCTTTGTGCTTCCTGATCTCTGCATGCATTTTCTCTGTGTATTTTGGGGTACTCTGTAGGGTTCTGTTTTGTGTGCTGTGCAGTTTTGTGTGGAATGTTTCTGATGTCTTTGTGTGCACATACATGTGGGGAGATGCCCACTGGTCATGACAGGGAGTGTCTGCAGCCAGAGCAGGTGGGTGAGGTTGGGTGTTGCTGACCTGGTGGTTTCCAACCAGCCCAGCTGTGTAAAGCTGCTGCTTCAGTGATGCCTGGGGGAGTGTGTGACAGTTGCCATTTGAAGTCCAGCCGCTGTCGCCATGACTCGGGACTTGTGGTAAAGCTGCTTTCTTAGATTGTTCTTCAGATGTTAAAACCACCCTGGTTTCACCTTTCCCCTTTAAAGCTGGAAGGGAACCTCAGAGATTTGCACATCTGAAACATTTCCTCCAAGGACTTCAAGCCACCAAGGACAGAGGCCTCAGAGTGGGCCTGTGGGAAGGATCGTGACTGTCTACTCCGAATGGTCAGGTCCAGCAGCCATCACCTTCCTTCCTTGGCCTTCTAGATCAGACTCAAGGTCTTCGTAGTTTACCTGTCAGAATTATCTGTAGACTATTTACATACATCACTTTATGCTCCTTTTGGTAAAATGGATTTAACTACAGACCAAAAATGTTTAAAATCAGTATTTCCAGGTTGACAAGCCAAACAGGTTACAGAGGCCTTGACAACTTGTCAAGTAAAATTTTGTTGACTATTGCTGAAGTCCCTCTGAATTAGACCAAACAGAATAAAATAAGAATATAACAAAACTGAATGCCCAACCTATAAACTCCAAGGCACATTCAGATGACCCTCCTTTAGATAACAATATCATACTGATGGTTCATGATGTAAAAATATTAAAGCTTTCAAAAATAACCCAGATAAAATGGATTAGGGTATTAATTCTTGGTTGGGAAAAACAGTGACCCAAAGGCATTTTAGTATGCTTACCTGAGGTGGGGAGGACTTTCAGAAAACAAAGAGGAGGAAATTATTCAGAGAAAAGCCTTGGGCTAAAAACAAAAAACAAGTGGGCAGGCACTGGAGAGCTGGTGTGGTTGGTGTGGTGGGTGGGGCTTCCTTGCACACAGCTGGCACAAGCTTCGCTTCAGTGATCCCCAAGCACAGCCATATGTGGCCTCAAAGTCCAACAGAGTATCTCGTAAAGCATGACTTCTCCTCCCCTGCAAACTGGGTCGCTGTTAGCGTGTTCGTGATCGGTGTGTTGGAATCTAGAACATGTAAGGCTCCGTAGGCAGGTGCTGTCTGGCAGGAGGGAGTGGCCGGGAACCTCCAGTGGCTCCTAACTGCGGTAAGACCATGTCTTCAGAAGGCAGCTCCTCCATACATTCTAGAAGAAACACTGGTTTTGGCAGTCCAGCGTTCATACAGATCATACTAATGACAAGTTATGAGTGATTCTCAGTTTATACTTCTCTAATACATGACCATGGATAGAGTACTTAGTAATTGAGCAGAATATAAGCATTTATTTGTACGTAGTGTTTTGACTATGAAAAATCAGAGTCCTACAGTTGCGTGTGCGCGCGCACACACACACACACACATGTAAGGATTTTAGATCATTACTACAAGCCTGGGGTGTGTCATCTACAACAGTCTGAAAAAGAGCATAGCCTTTAAAATAAGTTATTGCTGATCCCACTTACCTTGAAGATGTGGTGTGGTTACAGATGTAAATAAAATTCTGTTACTCGTTGCACCATTAATTCTTGCTTTATTTTGTGGAATTAAAAAAAAAACAAATCCAGAACCATTTAAACAAAATTTCAGGTAAATCTGAAATATAAACAGTGCTGTCAACCCCATTTTCAGCTGCCTGTAATTTCCCTTAGTGGTCACTGTTCTGATGATGGTCTGTAAGGAAAAGGGGCAGCCCAGAGCTTGGCACGCATGCACCTGACCCAGTTTGGTACCTAGCACTGCCTGTGGTCCCTTCAACCACACTGGCTGTGCCTCCCACCCCTTCCCTCAAATAACATCCCAACAGAGAAGCATGGAGCAGGTGTGTGCTGACAGAGAACCTCAGTCACTGCTCTCCCAAGTAGACTGTCACACACAAGCTGGACAGTGGCGTGACAGGGCTCTACATGTGAGTTTACTGGTGTGGCAGGCAACACTTTCTATATGTTGCCTCAAATCAATCTTCAACTTAGACTAAGAAAATAACTTTAGAATTTTATTTAAAACACCTGTTTCTTGAAGTGAGCTTTGCTAGTTAGCTTCATCTTCCATATTTTTCATGTCTGTATGTTTAGTCATTTTTTTTAGATACACCCCACACCCTTAGCCATCAAATGCTGAGAGTTCTGTATAGTGTGGCAGGAAATTGAAAGAAAATGACCTTAAGGTTTTCTGGTTTTTTACTATATCAGTTTAGAAAAACCCCTTCTAATACATACCTCATAAGGAATTAGAAACAGTAAGGAGATTCTTCCATCAGCAGTTGTTAGTTTTAGTGTGTACCAGACTTAGTTGGGGAGGGGCTGATGAGACAGACTGGGCCAGGGACAAGACTCAAGAGTATGCACCAGGTTAACCCGGGCTCAGTTCCAGGCATGCCCTCCACCTGGAGGGGAAAAGCAAAGCTACTCCTGGGCCGGAGCTGAGCTGCTGGCTTTGCATGTACAGCCCTGGTCCAGTCCCCAGGCTCAGGCTGTCCCCTGAGAAGAGCCAGGACCAGCCCAGATAGCAGGAGCTGTCACATTGCTCAGTGACTCGGGGTGGCTTGACCTGAGGTGTTTCCATCCAGCATCCAAGCATGCAGGCCCAGGAACCGCAATTTGAGACAGTCATTAGGTAAATATTCTTTACAATTTTGCAGAGCTTTTTAGATCTGGTGGCATAGGAGCTTGCCAAAAATACTTGGCTTTGGAGCTGGAGCAATAGCACAACAGGTAGGGCGTTTGCCTTGAACGTGGCCAACCCAGGTTCAATTTCCAGCATCCCATATGGTCCCCTGAGCACTGCCAGGGGTAATTCCTGAGTGCAAAGCCAAGAGTAACCCCTGTGTATCGCCAGGTGTGACCCGAAAAGAAAAAAAAAAACAAAAGTAAAACTTGGCTTTGCCTTCACCAGCAGAAATTCCTCCATCAGGCTAAGGTTTACATGAGTGCCAGTATGCGTCTCATATACTTGAAGTGGCATCAACTTTGTCTCCAGGGTGGACTCATCAAGGACTTGACTGAAACGAGTCTGTGTGGCCCAGGTGTCCAGCTCTTTCCCTGTGTTGCTTTCCTACTGCTCCTCTAGAGAAAAAAATACCAACCTCCAGCTTACAGTCTGGAGATGAGATGTCCAGCACAGGTCAGCAGGGCTGCATTCCTCCATGATGCTGGACAGAACTAACCCCACCTCGGCCTGTGCTTTTAGGCCTGAACCTTCGGTGACTCACCCAGGAGACCCTCTACAATCCCCTTTGGAACCACATCAACATACAAATACAGATCTTCCTCAAGCTCTGATGGGGTTACTTCCCAGTAAAGTTCATTAAAGATGTGTTTAATGTGTCTATCTGTAGCCCCGCCTGCCTTAAGTGGCTCAGAACACTTTCCCTTGCCAAGATTCTCTAGCACGGATCCCAAGTGTGGACAGATACATCCTTAGGGATACTGAAAATTAGGGCAGTGGTCACATGCCTTCTCCCCACTCATCCGTTCAGCCCACTGGGTCTCCAGAATGTCTGAAGCATGAAGCCTGGTGGTGGGGAGCTTGCACGGAGGCTTGAGAGTAGCAGGTAGGTGATTTTAGCTTCATGACCAGTGATTGGCAGGGAGTTGACATCTGTGATCACCGGCCCAGGAAAAGATATAAATTCAAAATATGATTTCTGTTGAATGTGTACTGCTGTCATAACCTCAAAAATTACTAAGTTGACCTGGCAGGGGAGACACCATAGTTCAACAAAGACTAACAAATGCTGGGAGGGGAACATTAATGTAAGATGGGTTAGTGCAAAAGTACCCTATCATTCAAGGAAACTTGACCTGAAGAGTTGAGGAACTTGGAGTGGGGTTTCTGATGAAGTGAGTGAAGTGGTATTAAAAACAGGACTGATTGGGGCTGGAGTGATAGTGCAGTGGGCAAGGCACTATCCTTGCTCACAGCCAACCTGAGTTGTCCCAGCATTCCAAATGGTCCCCTGAGCCCTGCCAGGAGTTATCCTTGACGGATGTATCCCGTATCCCCGAAACAAATTTAAAAAACAAAACAGGATTGAGTTTTTTAAAAAACAAACATGCTAAGGCCTGTTTCCTCCTCATCCTACCTTCTGCTTAGCCCCAGATCTCCCCTGCAGAGTAAGAGTTTCTTCCCAGGAAAGCAGATAGCCTAAGGGAGGAAAACACTTCTCAACTTGGAAGTTACCACCAAAAAGTCTCAGCTATGCATCCACCAGTGAAACCCCACAGAATGCACCTCTGTGCTTGCAAGTACCTCCAGGGAGGCTCTCAAAATCTCATCAGTGTAAGGGGGGTGGGGGGCGGGAGGTGGAGTCAGTTTCATGTGTGTTTCCCTAAGCCTCTCCTGAAACCCTCCTGTCTCAAAGGGAGTCTTCTCATGAAAGGGATCCGCATACTGAGGGTACAGAGGGTGAAGTACCTGTCCTGCACACAGACAACCTGGTGTGATCCTGGGACTCTGCACACAAGGACTGACCCTGACCGCACAGCCAGGAGTAAAGACCTAAGCAGAGCTGGGTGTGGCTTCAAAAGTGAAATTCTGAAAAAGGGAACCTGGAAACAAAAGTCATCTCCTCTGGGAAACAAGAAACTGCATCCACAAAATAATCATTCCTCTCCTTTTCCTGCCAATAAACCTAACATTAGGCCATGGGAGGAAACTGGAGAGCCTACAACTCAGGCAGACATGGGCGAACAGGAGCTAGCCTTGGTTTTATCAATGTGATGAACCAATACTGAATGCAAAGAGTATTTGATGACCTGTTTGTTCAACAAGAACTATTTAATAGGATTGGAATATAAAGCAGGGAAATTTACATACAGGCAAGGAGAGAACAATGGGGGAGGAAGCTAAGGAATTTTGAGGAAAAAAATTCAAAGAATTCCAAAAAGGGCCTCCTTCCTTCCCAGAAACCCCACACAAACCACAGTTCTGCATTCCGGGGACCCCAGTCATTCTGTCCTGCACTGTCACATCCTGCCCCTAGGCCAGGCGTTGGCACCAGCTTGTCAGTCTATTCTCTAAACCCAAAACCCAAGTAATGTTTGCACTGCATCTGCACTGGGGGCAAGTGTGATGTGGCAGTGTGCAGCCCTAAATCTCAGTTAACCCAGGCCAGTAACTAGGTGACTGAGCATGCTCAACACTGCAGGGCAAAGAAAAGAACCTGAATAGCAGATGCAGTTTCAGTTGCCTTCTGGTATAAACAGCTACAGATTCACTCTGAAGTACTGGGATTCTATACTTCCACCATTAACCCCACAAAATTTGAAGAACAATGGGGAAACCAGGGACTTAGCTCCAGTCGAAGATAGGAACAGAAACTCAGGCAAATCCCCAAGTCCACCAAAACTCTTGAGCCTGGTCAATGAGGACCTAAAATCAACATTCACTGCATTGGTGATAGAGCAAGCACTTCTCAAAATTCCCCTCCTACGGAAACTGCTAGATAGAGTGTAGTCTCTATTGGAATCCAAATAGCATTCTACAAGGGCTCAGAACAGTCGATTATAGTTTGTGTGGAATCATAGAAGACCCTGCAATAGTCAAAACCATACTGAAAAACAAGGGACTGGGAGGCCTCTCACTACCTGACTTAAAACTGCACTACAGAACCACAGTGATCAAAATAGCATGGTACATGAGCAAAGAATGACTGACCAATGGGTCAGAATAGAATGTTCATATATATGTGGTCAGCTAATTTTTGACAAAGGAGCTGAGAGCATGAAATGTAATAAAGACAGCCACTTAAACAAATGGTGCTGGGAGAACTAGAATAACCACATGTAAGAAATTAAAGCTGGACACTGGGTTGTTTCCAAATTCTGGGTATTGTGAATAGTGCTACAATGGACATAGAAGTACAGATGGCTTTTCTGAAGTTTTGGGGGATATTCCCAGGAATGGTATTGCTGGGTCATATGGAAGTTCAATTTCTACTATTTTTGAGGAATGCCCATATTATTCTCCAAAAGGGCTGGACCAGTCGGCATTCCCATCAACAATGTAGGAGAGTCTCATTTTCCCCACATCTGCTCCAGCACTGCTTGGTCTTGTTCTTTTTGATGTGAACCAGTCTTTGTGGTGTGAGCTGATACCTCATTGTTGTTTTTGACTTGCATCTCCCTGATGATTGGTGATGTATTTTTTCATGTGCCATTTGTATTTCTGCTTTGAAGAATTTTCTGTTTTGATGGAGTTGGATTTTTTTTCTTGTGAAGTTCTGCCAGTGCCTTATATATCTTTGATATTAACCACTTATCAGATGGGTATCGGGCTGGAGCGATAGCACAGCGGGTAGGGCGTTCGCCTTACAAGCGGCCAACATGGCCGACCCGCGTTCGATTCCTCTGCCCCTCTCGGAGAGCCCGGCAAGCTACCGAGAGTATTCGATATGCCAGACACAGTAACAACAAAGTCTCCAATGGAGACGTTACTGGGCCCGCTCGAGCAAATCGACGATCAACGGGAGGGCCTTTACCTTTACCTTTATCAGATGGGTGTTGGATCAATAATTTT